CCCTCCCCGCGGCCCCCGGCCCCGTGAGGTGCGGTCCCTGAGGGCGAGGGGAGCCGGGCCCCTCTCCGCCCCGCTCCCGGGGGAGGCCTTGTGGGGCTGCAGGCAGCGCCTGTGTAGGTCACCTTCTGTGCACCATTACGTTTCCCTGTCCCTTCTGCTTGCGAGGCTTTTCAGGCTTCTGTGGGAGGAAGAGGAGAGGAGGAGGCTGTCGATAAGATTTTGGGGAAGAGGAAGGTGGGGAGGGTGTGTCGGAGGGTCCCTGCAGCCCCTGAGGGGGGACCTACAACCCTGTTAGCAGTCTCTCCGGCCTGGGTCTGAGGTGTTTGGGTGGTCTGTACCTCTAGTAAATCATGGATGTTCTCGTAGCTGTGGGGTTTCATCCTATAACCCGGGGACAAAAGCACTCTTAGAAGGTTGCTGTGCTGATAAGGCTCTGGAGCACTGAAACTCTCCAGGCTGCCCGTCAGAGTTTACTTTTTGTTGCTGCCATACCTTGAGTTTGCTTTAAATTGCATTACCCAAAAAGTGGAATTTAACATGAACGTCTCCTCCTGTTTTTGTAAAAAGATTATAGAATGTTAAATTGAGGTGTATGATTTTGTGAACCCTGAAATTGAAATAAATGCACAAAATGGAGAATAAATTAACTGTCTTATGGCAACAGGGGCAATCTGTCTAGCTGGAGGCAAGCAGTGGACCAGGAGTTTGAACAGCAAAAGCAGATTAACTCAGTGAGAAAAATGTGATGTTAAATCCATGTAGAAATGCATTACCTATTTCTTTAATGTCTTTCAAATTAACAACCAAATTGCTAATGGAAGTCAGGGTTTTCCCTGATATGTCGTCTATGTTAAGATAAAGTTTGGAAAATGTTCATTTGAAAAATGAAAGAGAAACACTGAATTAGTGTTGCATTGTTCGCTTCTCAGGTTGAAACAAGAGAAGATGAGGAACAAAACGTCAAGTTGACTGAAATTTTGGAACTGTTAGTGGCTGCTGGGTATTTTCGAGCAAGAATCAAGGGGTTATCGCCCTTTGACAAGGTGAGACCAATGCAATATTTTTAAAAACCTTTTTTAACTATGTGATGATTACTTATTTTTTGCTAGTTAATTTAAGCAGTTCTAGGTGACTTTAAAAAAAAAAAAAGACACTTGCAACACATGAGGCTTTCCTATGTAAATAATTCTGCAAATGACCCAGTTTCAGACAGATAGGACCTCCTCAGTCTTGAAAAACAACTTAGTGCAGCAAGGCCTATTTTAAAGGACACAATTGGATGCAAGGTAATTGCTGGTGTGCTTTTTTTGTGGTATTATGGCCTAAGTTAGAGTCATATACAGGAAATTTTGCCCCTCTCTCAATTGCAGTTAGAATAGCTAGAAAGACTTGATACTTGGAGATAGCGTGGTAATTTTCAAAATGAATTTATTATTATTATGAATTATTAATGAATTTTCAAAATTCGTTAATGAGAAACGAGGAAATATTTGTCTTGAGAGGCTCTGTGTAAGAATGGAACAGTTAGCCTAGTGAGATTATTTTGGGGCTGTTTTTACATATCTTTAGAATGTCGTGTATGTTAACCTTTCATTGTCCTCGACAGGAAGTATGTGATGCTGACAGTGAGCAAAGTTCAGGTTGAAAAGAGACTTTTGAATGGATTTAGTGCTGACTCTGTGAGAAATTCCTGAACCAAGGTTCGAAAACACAGAACTGCGGCAGCCTTGAAATGGACTTTTCTGTTTTCTTCTGTTTCTTTGATCATAGCACAGCCTTACTTTGCAATGCAGTTTTAGTTTCTTCAGACTGCTTGGTGTTACTGACCTTAGCTGCTCAGGAGGCTGTGCACACAGACACAAAGTAGTTTTAAGGAGATGGCCTTAGGATGTAATATTGTTGCATTTACGTGTAGAAGTGAATGCATCAGGTTTATACTTGCCTGAATACAATTGCAAAGTTACCATTTCATGACAATTGCCAACCTTTACAAAAATGAGCATTGCTATTGAAAATGATCTGGCTGCTAGTATAAAAGGGATACTGGTTAACTGTTTCAGAGGGGAATGTGAGAGGGGTAATGCGTTAGAAAATCTTATGTGGAACACCCTAATCTGCTGTATGATGTTGGTAAATTATTCCACATTTTAATCCCTTTTTCTGTTCTTTGCCTTTGCGTACACTTAGATCATCTTGCATATGTTTATGCAATATTGTCTTTAAATGTTTATGTAATTTATGTAAAGTTGATGAAATGGCTCAGGAGTTTAAATATGCCTAAGTATCTGTAGGAATAGGGCCTGAAATAGAGATTTCTGCAGAGCTGGGGGTTTCCATTACTATGTTGATGCTGTGCCTAGCACTTGGTGTTGCGTATGTCAGCAAGCAAAGAATAATAGTACCAAAGGTATATATAAAGGTAAATATATAAATACAGAAATTATGATCCTTGATAAAATTTTGATATGGTCACTTTTTAAAGATTGTGACATTTAACATACTGTCATGTTTTATCTATTTTATTTTTTTTTAAGTCCGAGAACTGTTTCTAAACTGATATATAAAGCTAAGAGGAGTTTAGAATGTCACTAACTGCTGGTTTTGTTCTGTCTTGTGTATGTGTATGTAGAAGTTGATATATGTATGCTACCTGTATGTATTTCAGTCTCTGTATAAGAATACCGAGGATGAAGAAAATACAAAGCCGTAGTTTCTAAAATAAATAAAGCCTTTAAGATGTATTTGGTTTTACCTCTTCAAGTTAAAATGGAACTAATCATGCTGTTGCTTCTTTGCTAGGTGGTAGGCGGCATGACGTGGTGTATCACTACTTGCAACTTTGATATCGATGTTGATTTATTATTTCAGGAAAACTCTACTATTGGTCAAAAAATGTAAGTTGATTAAATGGCAAGTGTGGTGGTTTTTTCCTTGGAAATGAAGCAGCGAGTGGGGGGCGGGGGGGAAGTTACCTGATAGTTGGTTGTTTATAAGAAAGATTTTTAGTCCAAGTTTCCTGTTTTTCAAGACCACGCATTTGCAAAACATTGCACTGGTTTCTGAGTTTCTCAGACTGTAGTTCTACAAACTCTAAAACCAGAAAGAAGCTTATTCCAAAAAAAGGCAGTGCTATTCCCCTCTGCGCTGCCATGTTCTTATATCCCTACTAAGTAGTGAAAGCATTTATGTGGCTCCAAATTGAACTGGATTGGGAACTGATCCAGATTAAAACCTACCAAAGGAAAAAAAAAAAGGAAAATGGTTTTAACATGAATCAGTTCCTGGATCCAGTTCTCTATGCAGCTGCACAGCTGCTTGTGCTGGCACAAAGGGATGAGGCAGAGGCCAAAACAAAGGGCAGAAGGAGACCACGCTGCTGGAAACTGGAGTGCAACATTAGAAGACCATCCTTGGATTTTCCATGTCTGCAGTTTTGCTGTATGATTCTCCTTTATGGTTCTGGATTGGAATTGTAGGCGTCAGCAAACAGAATTTAAAGCATGACACTGTTGCTGAAACAGTTACCTGCCCCATACTGAGGAGGAGTATATCCTCAGAAGTATCTCACTTCCTGATAGTGACCCATTTTGGTTTAATTCATTCCTTATGCATGGAATTTGTTTGTAAGCCAGCTAATTCCTGTATTAGGGAGGCTGTAAACATTGTTTATGTGAGAAAGAGAATACATTCGAAACTACATTATTTCTTTGTGCATTTCTGTGATAAAAGAGCCATAATTAAAATTTGCAGGGTGTAAGAAGAGCCTGTCAGGTTACAGTTGCATGAAGAAACCTGTTTGCGCAATGTAATTGAATATCTTTCTGTGCTGTTTTCTTGAAAGTCATTTAGCATTAGCAAGACTGTAACACATTTAAAAAAAAAGATTTGTAGTTATAACCATTAACTTGGAGACACTCAAATCATCATAGATAACAATGTAAAGCATTACCAAGTGCACAGAATGAAGTCGAGACTAGGAATGAAGATGGTGGTGGTAGTTTTTATAATCACCAAGTTTTTATAATTACCATCTTTGTTATTCTTAAGAACAGCAGGATAAGAAATAGTTAAGTTGTTCTGAAAATATTCTGTTATCTTTCCAGCTGACTGCATGCAAAACTGACAAAACAAAACCCAGGCTCCTCTCCCAAAACAGCAACAATGATTTATTTATAAATCTGAAGTGTTCAGAGTCACACAAGCATAGGCTGTTTTGATGTCCATGTAATGTTTATGTTGGTGGTGGCTCAGTGCTTCTGTGACATTCTCAAGATAAGGAAAAGTTAAGTTGTGTTTTGTCAGTATTACTCTGAAAACATTTTGATGGTGTCCTATTATTTAATTGCTGGGTTGAGATAAACACGGAAACATACATTAGGAGAGGATCTTGCATCTATTGAATAAATTTCTTTTTTTTTAAATTGCATTTGCTTTGATTGTTCTGAGAGACGCTGCTGTTTTCATGTTGTGGAATTTTAGTATGATGCCATAGTGGAAATTGCCTTGTAAGAATTATGTCAAAGTTTTCACTTCTCTTAAGAAGTAACAACATTTCAGGCTCTGTTCCCAGACTTTGGTCTTTGTCTCATATCTCTTACTCCCCTTTTGTTCTTCCAGAATGTTCCTTGTCCATTTAGGCAGTACTGAATATCACTGAGGTCAGTACTGGACCAATTAATGTTTTTCCTTCATGGAAAAATATTTTTAGATTTTCTGAGTACAGTGTTCATCCTCAGTGCTGACACCTGCTTCAAAAATGTGTTTGAGAGCATTGACAGCAAAAAAAATACCTTGCCCTAAAATAAGAGATTTATTAGAAGCAGGATGGTGTTCTTGTAGATCAACCTCTTGTGTTAGGGTAATCCTTTCACTTCACCAGCGCCTACCTGAGCTGTAGAATGAGACGGTTGCCAGCAAATTCAGTTTTACTCACTTCAAAACCATGTGAAGTATACTGTGTATTTAGGTTTTAGGTGTAATATATATGTAAACTCATAAAATTTCAGTAATAATGTCAACATATATTTTGGGAGTTCTGCTAAACAAATTTTTAAGTTCTTACATTTGATTCTGCACTTTCTTTGAGTGCCTATCTTTTACTTAGTATAACTGTTGCTAAAGCTAGCATTTCTTCATGTGTGCATATATTATGGTATGCAAAGGTGTTTGTAGGTATATCTTACACAGACATTTCATCTGACCAAACATGCAGATCTTAAAATTTTGTGTAATATTACAAATGAAATAACAAGCAGAGGAGCCTGCAAGAAGGGTTTAATCACCTCTTCACAGACTAATAATATTTGTAGTACAATGTAAAAGCTATTTTGTAAATGAAAGTCTGATTGCTTTTCACAGCTGTACACAATGGAAGCCACTAGAGGGAACCTTCTAACTACTGTGTTTGCAAAAATAATTTGTAATTTGCAAAAGAAAATTGTAGCATATATGTGTGTGTGTTTTTGTTGTTTTATAATAGTGCCTTAACTGAAAAAATTGTGTCAGTATTACCAAAAATGAAGTGTCCTCATCGTTTGGAACCACATCAGATCCAGGGACTGGATTTCATTCATATATTTCCTGTTGTACAGGTAATAATTTTGTGATGTGTTGATACTTTGCTGAAAAAGGCCATAAAACTTGCATAAACTTTTTAACAAAGATATGTATTATTGTTTGGCTCTTTATTTAACTTTGGAATGAATAATCACAGAGAAGTACTTTAAATGAATGTTTTAAAATAATTGAGTGATGTTATGGATGATAGAATTCTTAAGTATTGTTTGATCCACATTTAAGAAAAACAGAAAACAAACTCTTTAAATTGCTTGAAAAGGAGTCAGGTTCTGCCTTTTGTGGAATGTCTGCTTAAAGAAACTGAATTTTAAGCTTGTTTCAGAGTCTGATAATCTACTTTGCCAGACTAGGAAATGGAACAAATATCTTACAGTCTATGTTTAAGCATATGAGGTAAGTTATACAGATAGTCATTCAATCAGAAGGATATGAATAAGGTGAAAGCCACTTGGAGTTATTTCTTTAAGCATAATTCATCTTTCATTCATATCACTTAAAAGCTGTATGGGTGGAAAAATAAATTGCTCTGACGTGTGATCCTATTATTGTGTATTTGTTGACCACCACTAACTGACCATGTGCATGCTTGTAGTTCTTAATTTTATTAAGGTTTAAGCTAACACGTGATGTGTTCCAGTTGTGTGTGGTATCTTGAGAATGCTTGGTATGTTGTTACCATTTTTGAGTTTACTTTCATCTGCGCATGGAAATGTATCTTTGATAAATAGGGAAAATGAAAATGGTTAAGCAAGCTTCTTTTTCATTAAATATTTCCTTACTTCCTGTCTGTGAAAGACTTTAGCAAGTTTGTAAGAAGTGGGGAAAACTTCTGTTGTCTCTTTGTTGTTATCTTCTGGTAGGAGGCTCCTGAGGAAAACCACACTTAACTTTTTGTGGGGAGTGCAGTTATGTGGTGTGTGCTACTGTTGCACAGCTTTCAAGCTGTGGTGATGCTGCCTAAGGTGGAAAGTTTGTGTCTTGTTAATGTGAGTTTTTACTTCTAAACTTGTATTTTCCTACCAAAAAAAAAAAATAATTCCAACCCAAGTTATTTTCTTGCCCCAGTCACTTGATGATGATGATGATGATAATGAATGGTAACATTTATCAAATACAAGACTTCTCTCACAGGAAAAATAATTCCTCTCCTAAAGTGAGAACATGAACTATTACTCCTGCTGTAAATACTGTAGCACTAGGTATTCTTTTTTCTGTCCTGCTTTATCCAAAGTCCTGATTTGGGATATTACCTCTGGAAAGGAGAAACATTAAGTCTAAGCAGGGAGGAGGAAATCAGCTTCTAGATTTCTCCAAGCGCAGTGATTCTCAGTATTAGTAGCTGGCCAGTAGGTGGTATATTTAGTCCATACTTGGTGAAGAAGTCTTTCTTGATGAGCTTCGGGTTTTTTGTATGTAGAGAATCTTTTTTTAGAAATTGTGTCTTTCTGTCAGGTCCCTGTGAAGTTCTGCCTGCTCCAGATACTGTTGGTTCTTCATTTCGTCCCAACCAAGATAGGCTTTCAAGAAAACTTTTGTTGTTGTCACCAGTATACTGTGTTCTTTGAAAAAGACTATGCAAGAGCTATAATAGGCTGACCACACCATGGCATGTATGAATTATGTGTTTGATAGTGATACTTCACTCAATGCTGTGTTAAAGTTAAGATTTCACTTGCTATCCTTAAATCTCAAACCAGTCTTGAAATAACATGGAAACTCTTTCCTCCATCTGGCATTGTGTCCCAATAGCTCTTGCACTGTGCAAGCTAGTCTGGTGAACTTGACAGGAGGAATTTAGATGAATCCTTCCCTACAGGAAGAAATTAGATTGAGTTGGCTCACTGCCATAGACTGTAGCAGAACTTTAAAAAAAGAAAAAAGAAAGAGAAAGAAAAAGAAAAAAAAGACTAAAACAGATTCCAGTGGGCAGCAATAGTGCCGTTCTTCCTAGTAAATTCTGCTTATGTTCACGGAGAAAAGTATGTGCATGATCTTGTGTTGAGATATGCTTTCTAATGAATAGTCTGCATTTTCATCTCTCTCGTTGTCATCATCTTCCCCTCACTTTCCAGGGGTTCATGGTTATAGCACAGAAAACAGTTGCTGGTTCAAACTTGGATCCCAAGATTGATCTGATCTCTTATGTGACCTCCTGCACAGGCTGTCAACAGCCCACAAGATATATCTTCTCCAACATTATTTAAAATGTACTTCAATCTTTTGTGGCTTTTTGTGTGGTCTTATAAATGTCAGAAGTCTTTTTTCTTATACGGGCATGTGGTTCTTCTTGAACACTTCATAGGCTTGAAGATACATTTTTTCATGGTGGAGCTGTAGTTTCTGAGAACAGTAAGTGGTGTACAGTAGGATAATTTCGTAGAAATGCATATAACCTAACTGTAATGGCTTCTACCTGGGGTACAGCCAAGATTAATGAGATGAGGTCGTGTTCCAAGTGGTGCCTTCTGTCAGAGTATAATTGACTAATGATACAAGACAAATTCAGTGTTGGGTCCTGGCACTGAGAGCCCAGAACATTTTCTGTTCAACTTCTAATTGCTTCAAATTCCAGCAGAGCTCCAGCCCATCTCCTCCCACTCAGAGTGATAGAGATAGGTGCTGTGAACAGTTCAAGCTTGCTTTGTGGAAGGATGACCATGCCTTACCCCACAGACTGTGTAAAAGCCACCTGGACTATCTGTTTATTTTAAAGTATGCTCCCAGGGGCTTCTTTGGAGCAGAGAGGGATGAACCTGTATGCGTGCAGAGTATAATCACATGTTTGTATATATATGCTGTAAATCCAATGCTTCCTAGAACTGAAGAATTTATTATTTATTCAGTATGGCCTACTCAGTAGAAGGACAACATTGATAGCTTTTAGAGTACAGTAGAATTTTGAGTTTTTGAATGTAGAACAGGATGTATGTTGTGCAGGCTGGTACAGCTGAGCTCTTGGTCTGGTGAGTTGTGAGGTGTGCTGGCTATTCCGTGGTATAGATGAAAACAGAAAGCCGGAAAATTTTTGTTTTGTGAATTACTGCTGTGTATTTTTCTATGTTATGTATTGTTCTGTATTTTGATAACATAATGTATTAATGTTTAAGAAGTAATAGTAATGAATGCTGTAGATAACGTAACTACTTAGTGCGGTAAAAGGTACTTTGTTAAAATGTATTTTTAGCTTAAGTAGTAGATTTGTCCTGCTAGGATGTAGGGTTTATGAAACTCAGATTTCTGGGATGGCACTTTAGGGGGTTTTTGGGGGTGGGATGTGTATTATTTTTTTTTTTTTCCTCCTTAAAGATGCAAGCTGAAAGACTAATGTTTAAAGTGGCCTACATCCATTTCTATTCCGCAGATACTCTTCGTTTTCCTTTTTGGAATGATTATACTGAAGATACAAACATTTGGATTACAGAAATTCATTTGGCAAAATTCTAATGAACTTTGCTTATTCTTGTGAAGATTTCATATGTTTTTGTTTATAAATTAATTTGTCAACTAAGAATTCCTAGTAGTTGAAATTTGCAATAGAATTTTCTTTCCATACTTACTATAAGAAATTAATTAGAGTGTAAAAGCAATTGGATATATGAGAAGTTGCAGTGCAAGCTAAATAGGGAGTAAATCACGCAGCAAAATAACTAATTTTGCAGTACGCTAGTTACAAATAACATTCAGAAAAGTGATTTTATTTGGATATCAGGCTCTGCTCCAAGGAGCTTATAAGGCAAGGCAGTTTGATCTTCTTTGGACTATTGAATCCCACTGTAGTGTGAACAGTATGGCTCACTGAGGTTTGTATGGTTCAATATAGTTCAACAGGATGAAGAATATTTAGGTTTTTATATGTAAAACTTTGATTATAAGAAAAGCCATTTGGTTTGTTAGCTTATGCTTTATCTGTTTGCTCCACTGAGCTTTTTAGTACATTGAAGAAGAGCAAACATGAAATTTATAAAATAGGTAATGCTGAATCATTTTGTTAGGACTAGGTCTCTAAGTTACCATCTTTACAAATGAATGTGCTTGTTTGTGTCCTTAAAATGTGCTTTTAGGTTTTATTATGTATTAAAAAGAATTGTACAGTAGTTTGGTCTTTGCTGCTGTAATTCTTCCTCTTTCCACTGACACAAACTTCTGTTTGTTTTTTTTCAGTGGCTGGTGAAACGTGCAATAGAAACCAGGGAAGAAATGGGAGACTATATCCGTTCTTACTCTATATCACAGTTTCAAAAATCTCATAGACTACCAGAGGTAAGATCAAGCCAGTTCTTTTTTCTGTAATAATACATCAAATGCTCAGGTGCAGTTCCAGCTTCACAGCTCTGAAATCAGCACAGTATACCAGAGTTGCCTTTGCTATCATTTTGTTAATCGGTCCTAGAGGAATCCACATACACGTTCAGCTGGGAAAAAAATTAAAGCATTGTTATGACAGAGAGTTCATAGATAGTGGTTAACTTTTGCTTAACAGTTGCCTTAGTTTTGCTGTAATATTTGGTACTTCTCTGTCAGTCTGGCCTGCCAGGTAGCTTGCTTCTGGAGTGGATATAGAGCTGTGTACGGTGTATCCAGGCTAACCATGTGACTGGAGCTGTATTGCCTGAAATGTGTTTGACAACACCCAGCGTGCTGTGGGAAAGCTGATCTAGCTAAATTAGAATTGTTATGCTCTTAATGCTTTATAACTTGGGGGTGATCGTAGAGTGCTCAAAGTCAGCTCTTGTCTCCCTGTATCCAAACCCCAAAATTTGTTCTTGAAAACTAGATTCCTAAAAAACTGAACTTGGGGAAGGACAGAGCGGGACAGGTTCTGGTTAAAAGGAAATACATTCGTCTCTGTAAAACATGTTTGTCAGAGGAGAGAGGTGCAATTTTATTTAGAAGTGTACTGGTAAGAGTAATTTTGCACTGTTAGAGATAGCTTGATCACATTCCTTCTCCTTCTGATGATATTCGAATGTTGCCTACTTTGAAATTGCATGCTTAAAACAGTGTTGTGATCCTCTCTTCTTCCTATCGTGCAGTAATGATATGAAGTTTCCTTGGTGTAGGAGGAGAGCTGGAATGAGCTTGGATTTGTGCCTATAATGCAGAGCCATCAGTTCCATTTATGCATATACCAAGGCAATTCCATATTTAAAACCTAGAACCCAAGTTTTTTCTCTAATTCAGTAACAGCATTAAAGGTAGATGTCCCTAGTATTGGCAAAGACAGCTGGGTTTTATTAGCTTGCGGTAGTTTGGATTTTGTTTTGCATTTTTTGATTGGTTTTAATGCTTGGAAACTAAAATAGCAGTAGGAGAAACTTCTGTTTTCCACATTAAGCCCATCCCAACTTCATCTCTTCATGGTGTAGTAATGATTGGAGCTCCCAGTAGTGGGCTGGGATTGCATTTGGGTCAGGTACTGTATAAGCAGAGAGCAGAAAGCCTGCTGGTCTGGATACAGTTTTAAAGACCTGCCTACCTGTCTGTCTGATGAGAGAAGCAAATACTTTTCTGTGTTACAGGAAATCACTAACATTTCACCAAATAATTGGGCAGCTCTCTGAGAAACTATTTGACGACTTTGTTTGCTAAACTCATTACAATGGTTGAGATTTAATCTCATTGCTGGTATTTTTAATCACCTCTATTAATGCCTTGCAGGATGATGAATTTATGCAAAGAAAAGAGAAGGCTATCAAAGCTGTTACTGATATCTTTGTAAGTATGTTAGATTTTTATGATCAAGAAGCAAGTGGTTTTAGTAATGAAATGGTGGCAGTTAATTCTGTTTAATGCAACCAACCCTGGGTTTTCTCATGAGAAGGTCCCAATGAAGTTACATGTCAAGCTTCATTCTTAGAACAGGTCACAAATGCCAACATACCAGATTGAAAATGTTTTAGATGTGCGCTGTACAAGTAGGTAAACCATATCAACTGGCTGCACAGAGAGTGTGGAGTTCCACGTATCAAACAAAAGTCACAAGGTAGCTTACAGGCTATTAAACCATGAGCAGACTAAGTGTTTCTTTGAAGCTATCAGCAGTTGGACTGTTTATCTTGAAATTAATCAAAATGGTGATGATCTCCTCGATTTAAATGTCTGTGTTTCAGAACTTGCCTTTTTTACTTCTTGTAATTAGCAGAAAAAATACACACCCTACTTCGGAAATGTTTTCTTTAAGTAGCAAATGTTGGTTGGGAAAGGTGGTATCACTTGTGTTCTCCCACTTCAGATGCAGATCTAACTCTTGAACAAACTGGTTTTGTTTTTTGAAAGCTTGTTCATGAACGCTACCAGGAGTGGCATGTAAAAGACATAGGCTATATCACTGTCTCAGGCTGGAATTTAGATGCCTAGCTAGCAACTTGAGTTTCTGTCCTTGCTTTCTCTCTAATTTTCCCTTTTGCTTCGAACTGTTAATTCACCATTTCTGACTCCAACAGTTCGCTACTCTTGTTTTGTTTTGTTTTGGCTTTTTTGAACCGTCTTGATAAATTCACAGGCCAACATTTGAGAAGGGATAAAGAATCTGGGTATGCTTTGAGTGGGACGCTTCCAAGGCTCTTCAATAGATGGTGAAACCCTACTCTTCTGAGAAAAATCAATGCTATATCAGGTAGCTCTAGCCAGACACCCTAAACAATTCGTCCATGGATAGAGGTGTTAAATGCCATTGTAATGAGCTATACAATAGCTTGCGTAACGGACCAGACAAGTCATCTTACTCTTTTGTCATATTTTGGAGGTAGTTGTTTTTTTTTTAACCTAATATATGCGGTTGAATTACAGTGTATGTTTATAGAAGAACATTGCTATGAAAGTCTCCAGGTGATGACCAATGCAAATCCCTTGTTAATCTATTTGAATAATTACTCTTGCTTTGAAAATTTCAATTACAGTCTCTTAAGTGGTGTTCCCCATGGTTTGGTTGGTTGTTTTAATTATTAGCAGACTTACAATGAGTCTTTTACTCCAACCAGAAATACTTGTCTTTCCAGTGAGATCTGTTTTCCGTTTTACAAGTTAGCTCCTCTTGTAAATTAGTATTACTGTTTTGTTTGTGCACCTATATAACCCTTTAAATTGAGAGAGAATGCAAACCCATGTAAGAAAGCAAATTCCAAATGTGTATTGTATCAAGTAGCACTTGAAATTCATTGAGCTTCTGCTTATTTTCAATTATCAGAATAATTGTCCTGATTTTTCAGATATTTCAAGTGCATCCATTTTCTACCTGCATTGTCTTTAAATAGCACTACAGATTCTGTATCCAAGTGACTGATACCAACCTTGTGACTGAAGAGACAGAAACAAAGTAATCACAATGCTGTTTCAAGATATCAATACCTAGAATTTTTAGTGTCATTTAAAAAATACAGAAGATATTTGATTAACAGTGATGAAGGGATCCCTTTGATTGCTGAGGAACAGAGGTGGTTTCAAGGCTTAGTTTTTATGTTCTAATTTCGATTTTTAAAGTTTATTCTGTTTTATTACTACGTTCATTTGGGAGAACTTGTCTGAAAAGAAAGAACGCAATCTACTTTCAGTGTGCAGTCACCTAGTAAATGTCAGGTCCATTCAAGTGGCTTGTACAAAGTCCCGTGGTGCTTGATTGGGTTTCCTCTACATATCTACCTGCATGTTTTCTGAAATTGCTTTTTAGAGCTGGAAGAGAATGACATGGCAAAGATGAAGCAAGTCCATGAGTGCCAGATGAGGTGTTTCTTTGCTGGTTGAAGCTGGTGAATTGGTTTTCACTTGCCCAGTATGTTAGGGCTGTTACTTTAAAATTTGTAGGTCATGGTCCTGAAATCACATATGCATGTGTCTACTTCTGCAGCTAAGGGAATAGCTCCATATTCAGGGTCCAAGAATGAAACGGATAATGGAAAGCAAGGAAAACAAGGTACAGTCTTATAAGTTTGATAGTATTTTGCACCATTCAGCTAGCCTGTCTAAATATCTCTGAGTAGCTCTCCTGCTTTTGAGCATGCTGAATGCTCTCCCTAGTTTGGATCTATCTGCAGGGTTGATAAAGGTGTGTTCTGTCTTCTCCTCTGGATCACAGATCTCTAGTTTTTAGGTGCATCTTCATGGTAGGTAAAGTTTTGACATTTATTCATCACCACTCAGGATATCATTAACAAACACCTCTTCCTTAAATATATGAGCTCTGTCAGGATTACGTCTTCTACAGCTGGCATCTGATCTTCTTAACGCAAGATTAGTTCATGAGATGTCTTAAGGCGTCAAGGCATGAGTGCAGTCTAGAAGAGCACACAGAGTGAATTTTCAGGGGAGAAAGCGCACAAGCTTTCCTATCCATCCACAGGAACTGGAAGAAGGAGCAGGTGGCTATTAGATGAAAGCTTTTTTGCAGGTCACCTTTAAATCATTACCCATTGGAATTGGAAGAGAGATCCACTTTCCTAAAAGAGGACCAGCAAGTGTGAAAGATCAGTCTGTTGTCTGAATTCATTATTATAACTCTGGTGTAAGGACCTACCCTTCTCTTCTCAAGGGGACAATACAGTGAGATTTATGGTCACTGTCAGGCCTAAAGGTTAGAAAAGGGAATATTAAATATCAGTAATGGTTATTGGAATAAGAACTACTGCTGCTGAAAGGTGACTGTCTAGTGAACTGAGATCGTCTTGCAGTGGTTTTGTTCAACTACTCAATTATCTGATGCCAAGACTAATGTTTGTGGTATGATGCCTACACTTTATATAACACAGGTATAATATAGAATGCCATCATAAAAGGTATAATTATTTTTATGACTTGCATTGCTTTTCTGTAGGTGTGAAAGTACATTTTGTGGGAGATTCTTGATCATAAAAAAGCTTTTCCATGTGACAGTCAAAAATGCAGCAGATTTAGTAGCTGGAAATAAAGATGACAGAAATTGAGATTAGAAATGAAGTAAAAATTGCAAAGGGTAACTGACAAATTCAGGAGAAACTTGCCAAGGAATACTATCTATTTTCACTTGTTTGAAATCTCTACTTTGGGATTACATGTCTTTGAAAAAAAAGTGAAAGCTATTTTGGCAGTGTTATGGTGCAGGAATTGCTTGTTGAAAATAATAGTTTGTGTGGTACAAAAAGTCAGATCAAGTGAAAGATACTCTTTCCTTTTTTTGTTTTAGAGTCTGTAGCTTCTTGCATTGAATGTTTTGTCCCATGTGAATAGAATTTTCAGAAGTTTAAATGTATATGTGGAAAGCTCAAGCTTTGATTTCAACTTTTGTTTTTTCTGATGTATTTGTTCTAAGCATCCTGAGCCTGACCCTCGAAGGATTTTAAATATATGAATGTAAAACAGACCAGAAAAGAGAGAGGGTGTTCCTTTATGATGCTGATTATTTGGTGGTGATGATGATATTTTTCTCTGCTGTGATGAGGGCTGGAATTTCATTTCAGAAAAAGGAGAAGAGAAAATGTCATCTAATTAGGGGATACACTTTTTAAAGAATATCAGTTTGACTAAAAAAAATAATCTTTGAGATCACAGGTTCTTCATTAGTTTTTTTTCAGGATCTTTGCTAGCAGGATAGCATTAAATACTAGACTCAATTAACCTAAGTATCTTTATTCCAGCAACAGAAATGTTGCATTACAGACTCATTGCACCCTAATCTTTCACCAAACGAACAGCAAAAGTAATTCCAGTCAAATTAAATGTTATCTCAGTTCCAATTTCTAATATGGGGAAAGCTGAGGATCTCATGATTATTTTTTGTTTGATTTGATTTTTTTATTTTATTTTGTTTGTGCTTGAGGTAGAATAATTTTTCTAGTGTTGTTATATAGACTTTTATAATGGCATAGTTGATCTATATGGAAGGAGGAAGCGAACAGGTACTTTAATATAGGCCATATTTACAGTGCTGTAACAGTTGTGTCTGTTAGTGGCTCCGTCCTTTTGTTTACATTTTGTTTTTAAATTGCAAGTAGCTCTATCAGCATGAAGTAGTACTTGTGAATCCTTTTTTTATTTGAGCTGTTGTGCAGCTATACGATCACATTGGGATAGCGTGAGATCAAATGACTTTAGTACCAAACTTCTTAAGGTATTTTTGTTCCTTAAATTGCAATAAAATCTGATTTAATTCCATTGTAACCTCATCGAGTAGATAATTACATTTAATTATCTAATAAGAGTCTAAAAATAGAATTAATTCACAAAGGAGGTAACATTTCTAGATACTGGCATTATCAGCTAAATCATGGGCCCTTTATTTAATAGATATTGATTGTGTTATTTTTGACTCTTCTTTCAAATGTGATGGAAGAGGTGAATGAAGAAATCATGTTTGTTGTTAAATATCCATTTATTTATTTATTTATTTAAAACCTGGAAAGACAGATCCTATAGCAAATTGTTTGGAAGTAAATTCAGTAAGATTTTTGTCATGTAATTCCAAAAAAAGCAAGTGAAAGATTTTTATTTGGGTAAGTATATTGAGTTGGAAAGCAAACAGTGATATATATCACTCTAGATCACAATTAATCATTTATTTTAGAAAAGCCTCTTACAAGCTTTGAGTTCATTCACTGTCTTACAGGAGGTTTACAAACCCCAGAGAAAATATAAACGTCAGAAGGGAGCTGAAGAACTACTAGATGAGGAATCAAAGGTTCATGCTACGCTTCTGGAATACGGCAGGTGAAAGGCTTCATTTAATTGTCTGTGGGTTTTGTATTGTGTGTATTTAGAAGCATTCTGTATAAAATTTAGATTGTGGGGTTTTGTTTTGTTTTTTTTTCCCCCCTACTACTTGAGGATCAAACTGTTTCAGATTTACTCCTGTTTGGTTTCAGATTTTGTTTGCTTACACTGTAAATTCTGTGGGGACTGGACAGTCCTCATGTGTGTGAACAATGTTTTGTACAATGGGAGACCAAGTTCTGCCTTTATGCTGCTAGTCGGGTATGTTTATTTAACATACTTGTTCTTTACCTCATAAAAATAGCTTAAATTCATGATGCTTCTAGGTAGTGTCTGTCAATCAATATTGCCTCTTTGCAAGCAATCCCCAGAAAGTGGGGAAAAAAGGAGCTGAAGTTGTTACTGCTTCTTTTTGTAGTTCTAATGTGGTTGCTACATCAGGAGGCTGAATCATGGTTTAGTGCTTCGGCTTTTTACTTTTTGCAAACTTCGGTGTAGAGACAAGATTACCAAGGTTTGCACTTATCCATTACCTTTGGAAGTCCCTCTGATTTACTAGGAACTCTCCAAATGCATGAAAATAATGTTACAGAGTTTCAGTTTCTAGTTTCTATTTCCAGTTTTCTTTTCATAGTTTAGTGATATGAACAGCTTGTCTGCTGTCTGAACTCTTAATACTTAATGAGTTCACACGACATTTGAATTTGGTTTTGCATCTTCTGTGGCTTCTTCTCTCCCAAAACTATAGATTATTTGTTGTTGTTGTTGGTTTTGTCTCACTATTTTGCGAACCTTCCTTTTACTCTTTTTATGCATTTCTCTTGCCACACAGTTGAAATCAGCAAGTGCCCTGGTTGCAGATTGTTTATAATCTTCCCCTTTCATTCATGGTGGTATTTTGTGAGGGCAGCATGGACAGATTACCATCTTTCAGCTTATTTTCCATTAAAGCGGGGTGAAATCTTCTGTGTGTTCCTAACGGAATGAAACTATTGGGAGACATCTGAGTGTCCTGTTACTCAGCAGAGCTCTTCTGACATTGCATAAACTTGATATATAATGGTTAACTGTAGAACTTTTCCCTTCCTTCCACCACCAGTGGAGTTCAGTGCAGTTATCTGAAGTACAACAAGCTGATTTAAAAGCCTAAGATTACTCTCTGCTCTAATGAGCTTCATCTGTTCAAAACACAGCAAACTACAAGGAAATACAGTCCCTCTTCTATATATATTAATATAGAGATGTTTATATATGTTAAACAGCTAATTTTACTAGCACAGTTCGCATTCACAATTTCTATGGGCTGTAGTCTTGACTGAGTCTTACTATTTTTCTAGTGCTGGTAAGGAGTTAGGCTTGATTTACCTCATCCGTTTTAGAGTCCCAATTCCTCTCTCCCCATTGAAAACTGAATTTGCAAGTTGGTGACAGTGTCAGGGATTATTCTACTTGGCACGTGAATTTCTTCCCTGACTCTTTAGTGGAAGACATGCATGCTGAAATCTTTATGTTTAAATCAGGTCATTGATACTTCATCAGTGCTCACAACGGGAATCCAAAGAGCTGGTATGGAAAAATGAAGTCCTGGTGTACGCCTGTTCTGTCTGTTTATAGTTTCCTGTACTGTTTCAGTGTCATCACTACATATTGGTGACAATAGACATCTCCTAATACACAAAAAGAGTATAAAATATTTTATGCAGTTTAAGGGAATTTTTTTTGTGTATGATTTTTCTATGGTAATTTTAGTTTTTTTTTAAAAAAAGACAAAACTTGAAATTGCTATACTGCTTGAAAATCAAAATAACTAGAAAGTGCTTTCTACAGATCCTCACAAATAGTTTTAGCTTTAGGTACTGTGGAACAGTTGAGCGTTAAATAAAGCTCATTTCTGCTGGAAAAACAGACATATCTTTAATCTAAAAAACAATGAAAATGGATTATGGAGAACATTTACATACAGGGAGAGGAAATAAGAACAGAGAAGTAGGAAGTGTTGAAGATAAGGGAACTGCTCTTCTGTTGTGTAGTGTGCATCAGTACATAGATATGAGGAGTGGTTTGGAATTAATAAGAAAGACAACCAAGAACTGGTGAGCTTTTGGGAAGGAAAATATCTCTTCAAGACAGTATTTATTGAGGTGATCTTGATGGTATTGTGGAGCCCTAGCAGAAGAACAAAGGGAGAAGAGGTATTTGGTATTTGAAGGGCATTTATTTAAACTGGTGATATGAAAGAAGGACAGTACTTAATAAAAGACAAATACAGTTAGCTATTTGATATGAAGAGCTGAACATGAATTGGGTGGAAGTGGGAGAAAATTAGGATAATTGCAGGATTTGAATGCGTTCTGGTAATGATTTCTTAATGAATTCGCAAAGCATGAAACTTGATCAAAAAACTATTTTTTATAGAGTGCAAGAATAAAGAACATCTGAGAAAGTGACAGTAGTGAGACCCACAAATATCTGCTTCATGTGTTTTGGTAGAGAAAGAAACTCTTAAGGAAGGTGATGGTATGTCTACTGTGAACCTAGTAATAAACTAACATGAGTACAAGGGCTCCAAGATGAATACAGAATCTGGGGGGGCAGTAGGGATTACTGTCTGCTCTTCAACACTCTTAGGGGAACTAGAACACTGCTGAAAAAGGCAAATGGTAGATTTTTGTTAGATTTAGGAATAGAATTGAATGCTTTTATAATTCAAATAGTTAAAGTGAACCTTTAATTCTTTTATTGCATGTAGATGGCAGTTGTAGCAAATTGTAGAGGATGTTTTTATGTCCTAAGTGTCCCTTGGTTATCATTAAAATGGCTCCTTTCAGAGAACACTAATCGTAAAAGTTAATTTTCTCAGTCCAACAAATAATATAGAGTCTTGCAATGTCCCAATACCAAATGCCGCATTATTCAGATACAGCCAGTGATAGTGCCATATTCTAAATTGTTTTTTGATCTGTGGCCTCTAGTTTAGAGGTTATCACAAATGAGCTTTAATGTGGTAGGCCAGAGCCTGGCTTGAGAGCAGAGTGATGCCAGTGAGCATCTTTCCACACAGTTGCATAGTTTGTTTTCGATAAGGGCTTTCATTGCCACATCTTTGCATATTATCAATCAGTTTTCAGCAAAGTACAAAGTCGGTTCCTATAACAGATGTGCAATGTCAAGCCTGGGAGGCATCTGGGTTCTCTGTTGATATAACTGCTGATTAAGTTTTTGTTATTGCTGTTCTGGTGCAGTGCATTACTTGGATGCAATTATCTGTGTGAAAATAAAATTGTGCTCCGACAAAAAGCGAGAACAGATACATGATAATGACAATGCTACTTATGAATGCTTCTATACTAATACAATTTTATGCATATTCTGTGGAAGGGTAGTGCTCTGCCACATTCTTTGTACTGCTAAGCTTTAAAATGCAGAGAGAACTTAATGTTGGGGAACTCTTGAAAACTTGGAGTCATGCTGTAGTAAAATAGGACGGAATTTACCTGGTAAGTAAGAGTGTTGAATAAATGGAGAGCTGGTGAAAATTGATACTGCTGCTGAGGATCACTTTTAACTTTTAGCTATAAAAGGCTTATAAATAGTCCTACTTCTGCAGTAGTTAAGGAATTAAACAGTTGTAGTTGTAAGTTTAGTCAATTGGGAGCATCACTTATTTTCATATCTGTGTACATGCTGGGTTTAGTGCTTCATAATGATTGCTTACTCATATCTAAAATTTCTTTCTGCCTGTTTTTTCTTTAAGATAATATTTCCGAAATAACAACATAACTCAAATGTCAATTATTCCTCTCCCTCAAAAGAAGCAGATGTAAAAAAGTTTATTTGAGTATATATTTAAAACTCTGAATGCTGTACTTCAGAAAGAAATTGCAGATTCATCAAGCACACAAGCATGAATGTTTCTTTGGGAGAAGGGATTGCACTGACAGTTTCCTGAGGCCTTTCCAAAATTTGGTAGTATGTAGCTAATAGCTCAGGATTAACTTCTAAATGGAAAGAAAGCATTGCTTTTTCCTTTCATGAGCTTTACATAACAATATTTTATGAACAGTCTAGATTTGCAGATCATGATGGAAGGAGTAGATGGAGCTGAAATTATTTTGTAAATATGCTGCAGTACCTGCTTATTTAGTTTATTTGCAGCATTCCAAAACTAACCTGAACCTGGCTGTTGGTGCATTTCTTATGTTGAAAACTGATAGAAACTTAATGTATTTGTGAAAGTTGTAAACAATGATGTATTTCTTGCATGTTCGTGTTGTTCTTTTAGGAGGTACGGATTTAGCAGACAAGCAGGAAAAACAGAACAGGTAAAAAATGTACTAATTTTAAATACTCAAATTGTGGGAAGAATTGCATTGGTTTTGTTGAGGTATTGGTTACTGTAAGATCTTAAAGGAATACAGCAGAATAAACAGCTATACCTTCTATTATTACCATCTCTTAAAAGTGGCTAACTGGAACTAAAAATCTATATGCCATTAAAGATGCAATTGATTACTGTCTCCTTTTTTAAAGAGTTTCCTTCATCTGTACGCAAAGATCACATTTTGCAAACGTTTTTCGCCTAGAAGAAAGGAGGTTTGGGTGTTTTGTTTGTTTTGTTTTGTTTTTTAATGTGAGGTAATGACATAACCTGTCTGTTTACTGAGTATCTTTTAACTAAGTGTTCCATGATGCGATCATTAAAGAGTTTTTCCTTTTCTTCTTAAAGAACCATTCAGCCTGGTAGGAAATTTTCTGGGCATTTATTACATAACAGGTTATTTAATGTGATGGAGAAACATGATACCATGCTGTAAATAAATCATAGTGCCTCTTGAAAAGTAGCATCCTTGCTGTGCTTTTGATGATCATGGAATCATAAAATGTCCTTGTCAGAGTACTTGCAGTTTTATTATTTCAGTGCAGATACTAGTTTGGCTACAAGGTTTTGTTACAGACAGAGATAATGAAGAAATGCATTAAGCATGTCTGTCATGGACCCAGCAATACATTGAGTATGTTAAGGTTACCCTTCTTCATTATCTCAATATTCCGCATACAAATTTAGCATTTAAATTTTCTAAATGGAGATATTTCCCAATCTAGGCATACCGCTTTTTCCCTCAAAGTAACTGCCAGACTGAAGTCATGTTTACAGAGTTCATTTTATTTCTTCAAAAATATTACTGACTTTGGAATATTGTATATTAGACGATCATCATGTTTGTTGTGTGAATTGAGTCTCCAGTAAGGCAGAAGTGGAAGATTAAATAGTCAGGTTAGTGGTGCCACAGAGCGACCTAGAAATCGCGTGAGTCTGTCACCAGTTCTCATTAGCTTAGTGGTACGCATTCTTCTGACTGAACTAGGCAATTTTACAGTGTTTTATGTTGTATGTCTATTATGACAATATTAAGTTATAAAAAATGATCTATGTAAAAAAAAAAAAAAAATAAATCAGCTTTGTCCTACATAGCAGACATCATGTTCTGGGGTAGCTAGTTGTCTTGTGAGGTTGGTAGTTCTCAGAAGGCTGTGGAATAAGGGATCTTTACCCCAGATGTGTCCATAGCAAACCAGAGACGCTGTCTTGAACAGCTGGAATACTTGTGAAATCAGTGAGGGTTACATTTTGTTTGGCATGAACTGGAGTGTGAGGATGTTCCAGTCGCTGAAATGTATTCATAAAAACAGAAAAGCTATATTCCAATTTTCTCCTTGCTGTCTTTCTTAATACTTTAGAATACTGGAACTAGATATAATATTTTCTTAATTTTTCTTTAAAAGGCTGAAGATAAAAAAATTGCACTACCACCAGGGCTTGCAGCAGCAGGAAAAGCTGAGCCTTGTGATGAAGATGACCTTCAGGCTGCTGAAGAGGTGTGCTACATACATAGAAGGCGTGGATGTTACTAACTTGGGGGGAGGGCAGCAGTTATCGCTGCCCAGTCCTTCTCTGCAAGAAGGAAAATTTCCATGTTTAGCTGAAGTAAGAGTTTCTGCCCACAGGAGAATATGGAACCTGAAATTGATGCACAAAATTAAATGCTTGTTGATGTTTAATACCAAAAAATTCAACTTTTGTTTTGGAATCCCAGCATTTTTAAAAGGTCAGTTTTCGGTTGACAGTGGGAGCTGAATACTCTGAGTGAACCTGTACGGTAACTTTAGCCACTTCTTCTTTAATTTTCATAGACTTACTGTCCCATTATATGTATTGAAATGCACATATTACATGATACTAATTGTATACATGTGTCCCTGTCACTGGGTAGAAGTAAGTTAAATAATGCAAGATAATGAAAGATAGATCATTATGTGTAATTCCTCATATTTTGCCCTAGCTTCGCATTAAAACTCTGATGACTGGAATGGCTGCAATGGCAACAGAAGAGGTAAGCAGCATTTAAAACTGGTACAGCTTTGTTTAAATTATGGTTGATTATGGCAATTATTCCTAAAATCAGGTTAATGATGAGTCTGAAGTCTTGGAGCAACTTGGATTTTCATGACGGGAGTGCAAGAAAAGATGGTTGAATTAGGAAGACTTAATTTTTACGAGGCTGATGACTTAATCATTTGCCTTGAAATGATAAAAGCAATATAAATAAGTGCCTCTTTCAAATGATTTCTACAAGGAGAATTTCAGGGGGAAGTCATCACGGTGCAGCTACACAAGATACAGTATGATCTTACTTTATTCATCTTGTGAAGATATCCAGAGGAGTAATCATTTTACTGGAGAGTGTGAAGGAAAATTGAGCATTTCAATGTGTTTTTCAAAACACTGATAAATATTTATAAACAACACTGTTAGTCTAAGGCACTGCAAGTACTGGATATGCGTCTTGTTTTCTTAATTGATTGTAGTTTATGATATAACAGAACTTGTAGGCTGTTGTAATTTTGAAAATTCTTACATTTTGATTTCTGGGGGAGAGGATGGAAGAAATTAAGTTGTTAAACATTGGTTTTGTTTATGCTGAAGTCACAGAAGAAAAGGTAGTAATTAGCCTAGTTTCAAAATTGATTGACATGCTTTCTACTGAAATCCACTGTAGAATTCAGTTCCACTTGAAGATCGTTTTTGTATGTGCATCCAATTTGAAAGGTGCATTCTTTCACACATCTGCATTGTTATAGTTTGGCTCAAAATGTGATCTCATAGTGATTTTTACTACTGCACATGCAAAATTCAGTATACAGAATACAATTAGAAGTAAGTTTTTGAAAATCTGAATTCAAATTTGCTAAAAGGTTCCAAGTGAAAAATTTTCATCAGTGAAGTTTTTTTTTTGGAGTGGTATGTTTCTTGGTCTTGTTTTATTATTAGAGATTTTCACCCAGTGTAAAGGTTTTGTACATTTCTATTAAAATTAGAGCTTGGAGACATTGCCATGTAAAAAGCACAGACAGTTGCAAAACTCCAAACGTTTTCCTGACACAATTGCAGGGCAAATTGACAGCAAGCACGGTTGGCCAGATTGTTGGACTCCAGTCAGATGAGATCAAGCAAATAGTGTCAGAATACGCTGAAAAGGTAAGTGTGTTACCTGATTGTCTTTTACCAAGTTGTGTTTGATAGCTTGTTAATTTAGGCCTTAAGCTTCCAATTTAATTGCCATGATTCTCTTGAAACAACACTGCTTCATGTATGCTGTGGATAGCAGCACAGTCAGGATTCAGGAAAGTATTTAATGAGATTTAAACATGCACAAGCTTTTGGTGTGATCGTACATACTCCTGAATTGCATTCATGAGTACTTTGGGTTTAAGCACTTGCTTAAAAATTTTCATGAATAATGAAGGGCCTGAATTGATATCTGTTCAAACTAGAGGGCTGAACTCTTAATGCATTTTAAAATGTTCAGTGTGAAGCACAGAAATACAGTTCTGTGGCCCTACTGAGGGAAAAATCTAGGCCTCCTCCACTCATTTTTCAGACACTGGGAACTTACATGCACTGGGCTCCAATTCTCAGTTATGCTCTGGATCTCTAGTTTTGAATCTAATATCATCAAAACCAAACCTTTGTTGCTTTTAGAAGTCAAGGCAATTAAATGTGCATATTGGCATTAATTATATGCATATTTATTGTGTTCAACTGTGGTTGTTTTTACAGTAATGTGAAAAGAAAATCTGGCTTTTGAAGCAATTAATACATACAATACATCACTGCCAGATATGAGTTATAGGTCCCTCTTATTTGTCCAATAGTCTTCTCATATTTCTTCCTTTTGGTTGACACATATGAGGTATAGAGCTTTCCCATTTGGGAGATAAACCCTATAACTCAACAGAGTCTATAGAAAATTCTTGGCCTGCCTTTATTATAAAGGATTGGAAGAACAGAAGCCCCAGGGTCATATTTCAATGTTACATTTCTTCTGTTCTGAGAGAAGGCAGCAGGACCTTGACTATTATAGTAGAACAATGATTAATACTCTGGAAAGTAAGAACTGATTCAAGTCAAACCAAAAATATATTGCTTTTCAAATCTATTGGATGTGACCAAAAAAAATTCTGTGTGTGTGTGCATGCAGCAGGAGAAGAGAATTAAGGATGTTATCAAACAGTTTATTGAAGCATCAGCAATGTTTGGATATAGTTCTAATAGTTTTAACCCCTTGTAACTATACATAGTCTGAAGAACACAGCAATGCTTATTTGTCTGCCAGAGTCTTAATAGAATCCACAGGCCCAGTGAAGGTAGCTGGCAAACAAAATTCTAGATCTGATGCTGCCATGTGCCAGGACCCTTCTTACAAGATGGCATTTTTTCAGAAGATCAATGCATATAGTTTTATGCATTTGCCCCTCCTTTCTGCTGCTGTGTTAACTTGCTGGGTAAACTGGAAGGAAGATTCTAGTTTCATTCTTCACTTTCTAAAAATCCTGGCAGAAAATTATTATCATGGCTTTTATCTATCCATTCATCACCAGCTTTCTACGGCCCACTAATCAAAGTAGCTTTGTTTTTACTGTGTTAGAAGGATTCTTCCTCTGAGAATTTACAAGTATAGTCATATATAACAAGTGGTTTTGTTAGGAGTAGAATAGGAGGAAAAGCTTGTTCCCTGGTAAAGCCAGAGAATGACTAAAACTAGAGAAGTGCCATCTCACAACTACTTCCTTCAAAAATCCCTGAAGGACAATCCTCTTCAACAGTTTTAGATGCTGTTTGCAAGTTGCTTATATTTTGAGTAGTTGACTGAGAATATTTTTGGACTTCTAGAATCCTATGTCAGAGATTACTAGACACCCTACAGGGTCAGTTGAAGTAGCGTACAATAAGCATTTCAACCATTTAGTGTGGTTAGGAGTTGTCATTCAGGGAAGGCACTAAATTGGATATTTTTGTATTTTTAGGTTTAAGGAAACCCTCAAAGATAAAGTGAGATGCAGTGATTTTTATCTTTGAGTTCCTCAGCCTCGAGAAAGTCTCGAGGAAAATGACAGCAAATTACATTGAAATGACTGAACTTGACTGAAAACAGATTTGAACTGTTACGGGGCTAGAGACTAGCTCTTTTTTTCCCAGTGGGCTTCAGAGAGTGGACTTCAAATTGAGGCAACTATGATGGAGTTAGTCACAGATCTAAACCTCTGAAGTCTTTGCTAGTAGGAGATTAGGAGATGGTTGAACATGAAGAGATAAACAAAATTATTTACTGCTACAAAGTTTGTATTTTTGTACAGACTAATTTATTTATTTAGAATGTGAAGTTCTGTAGAGTAATGATTGAATTCTGTTTCTTTAATTATTGGAAAGTTTGTAGCACTAATGTGTGTAAGTATATCTCATTATGAAGAATAACATTAGTTGCACATATTTCCTTCCAACTTAAAACCTTTACTTGTGAAAAGTGGGAGGTAGGCTCTTAAAGTCTAGAATTAGTCATTTATTTTGGCTTGCAGTTTTTGAGCTGCCATAAATTAGTGATCTTCATGAATAATTAATACAGCATTTTAACTTAACAAATTCTGTCATAGAAAATCAGGCTACTAACACTTCTTGTTTAACTTGTTTATTCAAATTGGCTAAATCTTTTTAGGGCAATTGAGCAGTTGCAGGGAACTGGGAAGAATGCAGAAGTAAGTCTACACCTGTCAGTGGTGGGAATAATGTGTGTTAACAGAAGAGTTGGAGAATGTATACACCTATCCCTTGTTGTCATGTGTAATCAAAGTTCTTATTTTGAGATAGAGTAGCAAATTGATAATCTTAAACAGTTAGAGACACTACTGCTCAGGTACAGTGTTCTTAAATTATGTTCAAAAGGCAACTGCTGTTTCAGTCTAGTAAGAGACCAAGTAACAATAGCGTCAAAAGCAAAGTAGCTTCTATAATTTGTACTTTCTTCCTTCTATGCTGAAAGATGCATTTTTAACCACAAATTGGAACCAATTCCTCATTAACTTTAAAGCTATAGTGTTGCTGTGGAGCAGATCCTTAGCCCACTTTGACTACAGGAGGCTTAACCCTAGCTTTTTCATTTGCAGACCACAAGGATCTTTCTGCAGAAACCTCTGTATTATAGTGATGGTTATTTTCCATTTTCAAAACCCAAGCTTTAACAGTCCACTTCTTGAGACGTGACCTTTTCTTGATGCCAAAGCTGTACTGTTTGGTTTTTTACTGTTTTTGCAAGATCAGTCTCAGACTGATTTAGCTCATGTTTCTCTCTTGCATTTTCAGTTTTCTTGATTTGCATGTTATGCATACTAGATAGGCTAATCGTATAGTGAGAAGGATGGGGTCTCAGAATGACATGATGAGGGAATGTGATTTGGCTGAATAATGAGAGGAATAAGTAAATCTGAGTGTGTATGTGTTGAATAGTTCAATGCTAAAGGTGTTCCTTAGAAGCATTTTTCCTTTCCTAACAAATGGAAAGGAAGTATGTGAATTATTGGGTTAAGATGTCAGAATTGGTCTTTTCTTGCTGTGGATGTAAAAGTATAACAAATCATTAAGCTGCTCTTCAGTATGAATTAACAGAAAATGGAGAAGAGGAAGACAGGTTTTGCCTTTTCATTTAAAATTGAGCTGTTAATGAAGACCTGCTTACTCAACTGCCTAGAGTGGATACCAGGAGCAAATGTGAATGAGGAGTATTTCATACTTCTTGTAACATTTTTGCTGATTATACATTGTAGTCGTTGTCAACATTTGGTAATTATTCAAAAAGCACTTAGTATTGAAGTCTTTGACAGACTCTGCAAATTAGCACCTGAAATACTTGAAAATTAACTATTTTTCTAACAAAATACTGGGAAATGGATTAACTGGAAAAAGAAGTCTGAGTGCATGAAGCAAATTACTAAAAAGATGCAAGTATTAAAGTGAAGACTTTCAAAAGGTACAAATAATGTTTAGGTAAATAATCACTTAGACATCTAGCTATCACTGATTTTTAACCATTCTTTTATCTACTGCAAATATACAGTTTCTATTATTAAATGCTATTCCTGGTAAAGAATGTTTCTGGCAGCTTTCCTTTCACAATTCAGAGAGAACAGGAGACTGGATCCAGATTGCTGTCTTCATTATGTATTTATGAGACACTTTCTTGGCAATACATGCTGGATTAAGTAGTTTTCAAAGACTGGTGTCAACAGAACACGCACACGCAGGAAAAAAACGCTTAGAGTGGTAAATGTATCTACCACACTGAGTATGTCATTGTCATTCAGCATAAACATTCATCCAAGCCAGTATTTCAGGATCTAAACACACAATTGTTCAAGGCTTTTGAAAATTCTGGATCTACTTACTGGGGTATGGAGCATGTCCGATTCAACAAGTTCAGTAAATACTGCTGCTTAAGGTGGTTTTTAGCATGTTTGTATATCGTCCGTTTAAGAATTCTGCCAGGTTTAACTGTAATGCTGATGCAAAAAAATATTTATTTCTTATAGTATACTGTAGTATTTTCCAGCTGTCCCAGGGCATCTGATTTTGTTTTTAGTTTACTTTACCTGTTACCTTTGGGATATAATTCAGATGTTCAGCCGCTTCCTTATTTTGATGTGCGATAAATCGATAAGTCATTCTTTTTGTTGGATGGTGGAACACAGTTCTTGATAAGGAATGTCACAGGTGCGTCCCACTTTGGCATTTCCTGAGCTACTGAAGAAGCAAAAAGTAATGGCGTGAGGTCCAACAGGCTGTTGTTATTCTTTATTTTAGCAATCTGAGCTTTCTGCTGAGGAACGACCAGAAAGGCTTGGAGCTGCCCAACAACATAGAAGGAAGGTGGCATCTCTGAATAAGCAGATTTTGCAGAAAACCAAACTCCTGGAAGAGGTAAGTATTGTGTGTGTAGTAATGAAAAAAACGTTGATAAATATGGTTGATCATGAAGTTTTTGCCATCCAGAAAGTATTTGCAAGCTATCTTCTGTACCAGCAATTTGTCATGCTGAACATTCATTTCAGCATCTCTGAATGTCTTGCTTGCACATTTATTACTAAGACAATGTGGCTGGTTTTATATTAAAAAAATTGTATAGCCCTGTCTGTGAGGAAGGGGCTAACTAATCAAAACATGCTTTTCATGGTTTTTTTGCATACCTCTCTTCAAAGAAAAACAAGAGTAGCTCCATTTGACTCGTTAGCTATAGTGTTAAATGGGCTGTGTTCACAGTTTCAAGAAACAATTTAGGAAGTTACTTTAAAATATGCTACAAATTACTTTTTATCACTTCCTGTCCTTTATATGAGCCAGCTTGTCTCGCTGACTAAGGTGGCTTTTTTTGCTTATTGGTTGGTTGTTTGGGGGTGTTTTTGCACAGTCACTGCTTGGTTCGCATCTTCATATTTGGTTTAGCGGGGCAAAGGCGCTTGAATTTGTGACTGATGTTCTGTTCATATCGATAAGTAAGAGCAAGAACCACCATTCCTGTATTTCAGCCTACTTATGCTATTGCCACTTAAACCCAGAAAAGTATAAGTGGAATTCTATAAGCATGTGGAGGAGAAGGTGGTTATCAGGAGTAGTCAACGTGGATTCACCAAGGGCAAATCATGTTTGACCAATCTGATAGTCTTCTATGATGGCATGACTGGCTGGGTAGATGAGGGGAGAGCAGTGGATGTTGTCCCTTGAATGCAGTAAGGCTTTTGACACTGTCTCTCATCACATCCTCATAGGAAAACCCAGGAAGTGTGGGTTGGATGAGTAGACAGTGAGGTGGATTGAGAACTGGCTGAATGGCAGAGCTCAGAGGGTTGCGATCAGCAACGTGGAGTCTGGTTGGAGGCCTGTAGCTAGTGGTGTTCTCCAGAGGTCAGTTCTGGGTCTAGTCCTGTTTAACCAGTTCATCAGTGACCTGGAAGAAGGGACGGAGTGCACCCTCAGCAAGTTTGCCGATGATATGAAACTGGGAGGAGTGGCTGACACACCAGAAGGCTGTGCTGCCATTCAGCGAGACCTGGACAGGCTGGAGAGTTGGGTGAAGAGGAACCTGATGAAGTTCAACAAGGGCAAGTATAGGGTCCTGCACCTCGGGAGGAATAACCCCATGCATCAGTACAGGCTCGGGGTTGACCTGCTGGAGAGCAGCTCAGCGGAGAAGGACCTGGGAGTCCTGGGGGACAACAAGTTGCCCATGAGCCAGCAATGTGCCCTTGACCATGACCCAGCAATGTGCCCTCATGGCCAAGAAGGCCAAAGGTATCTTGGGGTGCATGAGGAAGAGTGTGGCCAGCAGGTCGAGGGAGGTTATCAGGTTATCCTCCTCCTCCACTCTGCCCTGGTGAGGCCACATCTGGAGTGCTGTGTCCAGTTCTGGGCTCCCCAGTTCAAGAAAGACAAGGAACTACTGGAAAGAGTCCAGCGGAGGGCAAGAAAGACGATGAGGGGACTGGAGCATCCCTCTTATGAGGAAGGGCTGCGAGAGCTGGGTCTGTTCAGCCTGGAGAAGAAAAAACTGAGAGGGGATCTCATCCATGCTTGTAAATACCTTAAAGTTGGGTGTCAAGAGGATGGGACCAGACTCTTTTCAGTGGTGCCCAGCGACAGGTTAAGGGGCAATGGGACCAAACTGAAACTCAGGAAGTTCTGTCTGAACATGAGGAAAAACTTCATTACTTTGAGGGTGACAGAGCACTGGAACAGGCTGCCCAGAGCGGTGGTGGACTCTCCTTCTCTGGAGACATGCAAAACCCACCTAGACGTGATCCTGTGCAACCTGCTGTAGGTGACCCTGCTTTGGCAGGGGGGTTGGACTAGGGGATCTCCAGAGGGCCCTTCCAACCCCAACCATTCTGTGATTCTACTGTAAGCTATCCATTAATGAAATGCTGCTTTTAATTATGCATACTGCTGTAATCAGCACCATGCCATTTTTAGCTTACAGAATCTGATGAAAACATATTGCATTGGAGTCAGTAATTGGAAGAGCTTGCTGAAAAACAAGTAGTACTTGAGAAAAAAATGTTGCTGATTACTTCCGTGGTTGATAACTCTGTCAAGTACAGCACTGCTCCAGCAGCCTTCATCTGTTTTTTGTTTTGGTTTGCTCTGCTCTTGTCAGTAACATCTTAATGCCTTACATCTTAACTGTCTTTACCTATTAAATGTTGAGGGTGCAGGGGCTCCGAAAGACAGGTGTCTGTATGGCACATTTTATGAGACAGTGATATGTTCATTCTTACAAACAACAGAGGTAAAAGAATGGTAGCTTCTGAAAGCCTTACCTACTATGGTATAACTATGGTAGCATTAGATTTTAAACCTTCCTGCTCAGCCACTTACTAGACCTGACTTTTTTTTAATTTATTTTTAAAATAAGAATAAAATAGTCTCTAATAGTGCCATAAAGTCTGTTATTTAAAGGATATTTATCCTTTCAAAATTTAAATCTCCTTTCAGTAAAGCATATGCTGTGAACTGTTTTTTGACATCTCCGACTAACAGTCAAGTAATAATAATTTTAAATAAAGCTATAGAAATAAAAGTTTTGGATGAAAAATTGGAAAGACTAGTTGTCTATCCTGTTCTTTGTTTCTCTCTTCTTTCTTCTTCTTTCCAATTTTAATAAAAAGCTTTATGAAGAACCTGTGCAGATTCTTCTTAATTTATTTTGCACAAAAAAAGGCTTTCAAAGGGGAGAGTATGACAGTGTTTTAAGTGGTAAATATTAGAATGCATTTCCTTTGGAACGTGCCAAACTAGTTTTGTTGTTCTTAAGCTGACGCATTTCTGTTTGTGTTGCCCTCTGGCGTGCCCCATGTATTAAAAATAGCATTTTTTTCATAGTCAATAACGCTGCAATTATTACTTGCACTGTATGTTGAATGGAAACCATGGCTGTCACAATTCCTCTCCATTCTAGAGTGAAATATTAGAAAGTATTATGATATACTATAATTAGGATATTTTGATATACTGAAATTAAATATACTTTTTTTTTTTTACTTGAGTCTGTATTCTTTTTAACGCTTTGGTAATATGAATTTTCCATGTCTGTTTATGTCAAACATAACTTTGGTGCCCTGTCAAGATGATGACTATTAATAAAAAGTATCGACAATACCTAGCATTTAAATACAGACTGAAGTGTCAGGCTTTCAAAATCATAACATGGGTTTACAGACAGTTAAATCCTGCGTGAATTCCCATGTTGGTTTGAGTTTTTTTTCCTGAAGTAAACACACAAATTACACAATGAGATCTTTCGACTTTCAGAAGTGGCAGAAAAGAGGAGGATGTTCCATGTCATTGCTGTACATTTCTGTCACACTTTAACTCTTCTTTTAAACCACAAAGGCTATAGAACAAATACATATGCAGGGAGATACAGATGTGCTCTGTGTATATTGTAGAATGGAGACAGATGCAGGCTCTTGCAGCATCTGCTCTGAGCTGGCAGGTTGCAAACCTGTTCCAGGTAAGAAGCTTTGTTGTCACCACTGGCAACAGTTTAGCACTGCGCTAGTATAAAAGGGGGCAGTTTTGCTCAAGTTTAAGGATGTTCTAGTGCGGTTCTACAGATTTTGAATGGATTTTGGTTAAGTCCACCATCTCGCATTCATTTGCAGTTTTTCTGCAGGCAGTATGTAGATATACAGGAGGGATGCTCAGTTTGAATAAATCTATGTACTAGAACACTGTACCACAGCCCCAGCATTGTGACAGCAGTTTGCGTTCTTGGAGACAGTTAGCTCAAGTTTAATTTTGGGGAGGACAACCTAGGTACAACTATGTAGTGAGAGTGGCATTAGGAAACTGCAACAGCTGGCTCAGGTTTCAAAAAATGAAAATGTGCAGTAGCACAGTTCTCTAGCCATGCTGTTTCCTTGATCTTTCTTGCCTGGTTGAGCAGTAAGAGAGGCTGGTAAATGATCTTAGCAGTTGTGGGTGGCTTTTGCAGCTATTCCGTGTAGTGCCGTTATAATCTGGAACGCAGAAAGGATCCGCCAATGTCTGTGTGCAGTCTCAACAACTGAAATGTTCAAAGGCATTTTTTCTGTAGCAGATGGCTCTTATATTCTAGACAACTGTAGCATAGTGTGGCTACTGAATTAGTAATACAGAATATGCATGTAGCTAGATATATGTTGAGGGATGACATTTTTGTGCCTGGTGCAAGTAATTTCCTTTACTAGTTACCCCAGCATATGAATGAATGTATGTGCTTGCTTTCCATGTACTGCTGAGAAGCAAGCAGTCTGGAGTGAGGAGGAAACATGTTTATAAACCACACAAAATCGGTAGGGTCCGTACTTCATTACAGATCTGCTTTTAACTGCCAAATAGACTTCATAATCCACAGGAAAGCTTAAGTATTTTCTAAATGTGTTATCATGCTTTTTGCCATTTTAACAGTTGAGAGCCCTTTAATTGTGTTGCTTATTTCCAGTACGTAACAGTCTCAGTGCTGTGTTTTTATATGGAGTAAAAAATACGGACAGCCAAATACAATCCTTTTATCACTTTAGTAAAGTAAAAATTTCCTGGCTGATTTTTTTTCACCATTTTCTGAAGACAGTTTTTTGAAATCAGTGACAGTCAAGGACCCCTCTTTTAAAAAATGTTTGTGAAGTTCTGTCTTCCATACCGCAGTAAGTTTTGGCAAGAGTTCTCATAACAAGTAGTGCTTTAAGCTTTATGTCAATTTTCATGAGGTGTGGACTGCAGCCTTAAATTATTTTTTTTTTCCAACTAGTTAGAATACAGTCTCTTGGTGAATTATTGGTGAAAATATGAAAAACAATGAAAAAGCTTTCTTTTTATAAATTTGGCTGTGGAAAGGGGTGAGTGGAGTGTTGAGTCCACAGCTCTGTGTTGTGAAGAGCAAACTAAACCAGTATGAAAAGAAGTGGAACAGAAAGCTAAATGTGCATTTCTTTGTTTGCAACGCAAAACAAAGTGTTTGCTCCACTTTTGTAACCCATGTCCTATTTTTGTTGTTACTATTTGCAATATTATCTTAAATCATAAGGACTTTAAAGAAGGATGTTCTTCTAAAATTAGCCTCTGTAAATTATTTGACAGGTGAAATATCCAGTGGCGTTTTGCTAAATGCCTTCTTGCTAGACTTTCCATAGTTACACAAAAGAAAATCATAAACCAGCTTGCGTATTTGGTATGGACATGTCTATGGTATGGTGCCATGGTGCTTTTATGCAAGTCTTGACTCACTCAGACTTATTTGGAAAAGTACGAAATGGGACTCTCTTCCTAGCCTGGTGTGAAACTAGGCCAGTATAACCAGGCTAAGTAACTTCGAGCAATTTAACAGAGATTCTCTCCAATAAGTTACCATTCTGTTGGCATCCATTTTGTAAAGGCTGCTGTTATTCTGGGACCTGATACATCTAGAAGGTCAGGTAGAAAATGTTTGCTGTTATGAATTCAATATTCAATCAGAATTCTTGCAATCAAATGTTCTTAGAGTAGATGACAAGACAAGACAATGTTTGTGGTGCTTGGCTTGTTGTTTAATAGACAACCATTATTAACAGCTCAAATATTGCTATTCTCCATTGCAGGTGTAATTAACCTGAATATAGAATCAAACTCTTTTCTTTCTCTTTCATAATAGTTGCAAGCTAAATGTACTGATCTGCAGGCAAAATGTACCGAAGCAAAAAAGACATTAACCGAGGTAATCTTTCTTTGTTTTTCTGTGTACCGATTCTAGCTGAATCATTTTTGAGAAGCTCTGTGTATAGAGGGATGTATTAAATGGTGAAGGTGTTTGACAACTTAAGTCGCTGATCCCATGATGTGGGAAAGCTAAGTACCGTGAATCATTTTAATGTGTGGAAGTGTATTTCAATTTATCATTAATTGCAACCCTTAGGTTAAGAGTTATAGTGAAAAGCTGGACAAAGAATTGGCAGCGTTAGAAACAATAGAATCCCAAGCAGATTCTAGGTAAGTTTCTTCCTTTGTGACCTTTGAAATTCTGAAAGATGATGGTTTTAAAATGAATAATTCAATGTTTCTTGCTTTGTCAACCTAAACAAATAACTAAAATTTAAAAATTAAATAATTCTCCAGCTTGCTTTCCAAAGACAGGAAACTATTACCATAGTATTCAGTCAGAATGAAAAGTGTCAATCTGTAGTTGAAAATAATTGTAGGTGTTTAAAGCAGAAGAACCCTAGACGTATTTGACAAGTAGATGAGGCCTTCCTGCTTTATTTTGTTCATTTGAAGTCTTCATCTCACATAAATTAAATAGTAGTCTCTCTCAAAACTTCCACAATAATGAGGTCAGAACATAGCAAAACCATCAAATACTCAGTGTAATACTACATTTTTATTCTGACTCTGGTATATCAGTGGTGGTATTTGGGTTTTTAATTTACACAGATTTTATTGGAAATTTATTTAGAACTAAGCCTGTTCTCGTGTCTTTTAGTTCTCCATCTGTTTAAAGTAGAAACTAAAAATCTAATGTGGTTTACTGGATTTTCAAATTTAGCATATTACAGAGTCTGCGAGCGCTAGTGGCCATGAATGAAAACCTAAAAAGCCAGGAGCAAGAGTTCAAAGCACATTGTAGGGTAAGTTTTAGTCTCTTATTCAAGGATTCATTTAAAACTTGGTAAATAAGCATTATACTTCTTTCTAATTTGTTGTGTGTGTCTCTGTCCGGCATCTGTGTGTCCTGTTCTGTGCCTCCTCCATCTACTGGTATTTCCAGGTTTATATTGAATGTTGCCACCAGCTTGATTTGTAGCAGAATTATGGACAGTTGCCTGGTTCTGCAGTGTATCATATCTACAACAAGGCTGATGACCAAGAAGGTTGGAACTGGTTTAGCCCTGAGGCAGGGAGGTGTAAGGAAGGCTGCCAAGGCATCTGAATTAGCTTGTCCTTCAATGTTCTGTTGTGCCTGGGACTCTACTACAAGGCAGTTCCTAGACATATAATGCCAGATCAGCTGTATACTGGTCACAGCTGTGGTTCTTCACATTCCCATTACTGTTCTGCTAAGAGGAACTGGGAGTGGGTTGACAGGGAGCGCTAAAAATGTAAGTTTGAGGTTGGGCTGTACTAGATACCCACCTGTGCTATTCACAACCTGAAATGGATTGTCTCTTCTTGAATGATGCAGCCAGCAGTGACCTGAGGAGAGTTACAGTGCCAAAGAGGAGGCCTCTAGCTTTGGAGCAACCCACCAAAAGAGACAAGACTGAGATGAAGCTATTTGCAGTTTTCAGAGCCTATTTCAGTTTTACTGCTTAATTGCTATGTTTTGCTGTCCTGTTTACTGCTGTGTTTATGGACTGCCTGAAAATATGATTGGAGAGAATTGTTGTCACTTGCTTCTGTTTGAACAATGGTGGATGGGATTTAATAGAATGAAAAGAAGTAAAAAGAAATAGTGCCCTGAGGCATAGACTGAGCATAGGAACCTCATTTTCACATATATACTCCTTTGGAGTGCTCTAAAGGGTTGTAATGGAAACTACCTTGCAAGTAACTTTAGGTTCATTCATTTTTATAAATGCTGTATGTTGCAGTCCTGTGTCATGCCGTTGCTATTGTAATATTCCTTTGCTTCCTTAGTTTCATTTTCCATGTCGCTCATTAGTTGTCTTAGCTGGTTCTAGTATATTTGCAAGTAAGAAATAAATCTGTTCCTGTGTTTGATAAAAGCAGACAGTTTTATGTAATGAGTAATAATGGATGCCTTGCCCATAAGCAGGGAATGCTGTTTAATCTTACAAATTTAAATATAAAGTGTGTGGTCAGCTCCAAAATTTTGTTAGAGGTGTATGTTGTCAAGCTTCCTGCTCTCCCCTGTTAAGAGGATAGGTCTCAGTTAAAAGCAACATAATTTTTTTTTTGGTTTAAAGGAAGAAATGGAGAGACTTCAACAAAATATTGAGAATTTGAAAGCTGAGGCTGTGGAAAATGGGGAGGAACAGGTAACAGCAAATGTATAAGTTTCTATTTTCAATTTGTATTTTAAAATGTTTTAGGTCCTTCTGACTTTTGGGACATTCTCATAAGCATTAAAGTATCTGTTGCAATCTCTGAAAAATTCTGCTCTCCCCCACTGGTAAAGCCACAGTTCAGGCTAATAATCATAGAAATATGATTATTATTACAGCTACTGAAAATAGCTGTAGTGTTCTTCATTATTCTTGCAGAATCCATGGGGCTAACTCATAGATGCTTTTGTGCCTTTTACTTCTTTCTTTGTAGTACCAGAGAAGAATCTCTGGATGTTGTGTTAAGAGCAGTGCATACCTCTGACAAAACCAGGTCTTCCTGAGAAAGCATATTTGTTTTGGTTGTTTTTTTTCCTAAAAGTGGATTTATTTGAAGGATGAAAGCACGAGTTTTCAGTGGCTGCCGTGAGCAGCTGTCAGAAGTTGGGCTTTAACACGAGTGCATCCAGACTGATGGCAATGAATAATGAATGAACAGAAAAGGAAAAGCTTGAATGACTTGTGTTTTCAGTGGGTAAACATTTGATACATTTATGCCTCTGAAATGAGGTACATTACAGGTTCCATGATGTTGCTGTCCTTCTGAACACAGCATGAAAAAATTAAAATGTAAACCAAAATCTTAAATTATAAAAATTATCTTAAAGTCCACAATCCAGGAAATCTGGAACACATATCAGAGGGTTTGTGTTCTGTCCTGGGCCATGTTTTTCCTTAACCCCACCACTGAATCAGCGTATAAACATTCAGACAAGGAGTACAGACAATCTTATGATACATGTCTTCATTGAAAGTGTGGCTGTTGTAAAGCAGTGGAAAAACTATTGACAAATATTAAAAACCAAAATATCAAAGACTTAAAAGCTAGCAAAATGCACTTGTTTACTGTAAAAGATGTCAGGTTTTTTATCCAGATTATGAGTCATTATTAAAAAAAAAACCAAACCAAACAAAAAAAACCCACAAAAAAAAACCCCAGCAAATGGTGGTGTTATCGTGGGAGCCATCAAATGGAAGATAGACAAATACAGAAAAGAAAGCCAATCTGCACATTTTTTGCATTGCAGCTGTCATATGCTACTGTAATACACAATTGTTTTGGGTTCTCAAATTCTAGGAGCCGAATAGGATTATAGAACAGCAGTACAAAACTGAGAAAGATAAACTTCAAAAGATACGGCTGTTATTGGTGAGTAACTCTTTGTAAATTTACTTGTACAAAATTATTGACATTTTTCTTACCTTGTAACTCCTAATGCTTCTTTTTGTTGTTCTAATTTTAAAAAGTTTTTCTGTCACAAATCAATTACAAAAAAATTGAGCCTCAGCCAACACTGCTTCGTTTTAAAAATTAATTATTTAGTAACAAAATATTGCTGGGGGGGGCTTCATCCATTTTAAGAAGAGAACAAGAAGAGGCTTTGTTTTCTCCCCTCCTAACTTTCTATTCAGGCACGAAGAAACAGAGAAATAGCCATTTTACAACGCAAGATTGATGAAGTACCCAGCCGAGCTGAGCTAACACAGTATCAGAAGAGATTTATTGAACTTTACAGTCAGGGTATGTATATCAAATGCTGAAGGCTAAAGCCCTGAAAGGAGGGCAATTGCATTTTAAGCATATGGCATGTAACACCACCACTTGCTAATTTTGTGGTATTTTAAGGGTCTTTTAGTATTCATGTTATACACCCTATTTTCAAGGTTTTATAAGCTGGCTATAAGAATTTTCCTGAGGGTGAAACTTGGTGCACAAGACTGCAAGTAAATTTTATCTGCAACAGGTTCAGTCATTTAGGTTAATGACCAGTCTGTTTACAAAGTCCTTAATTCTCTATTTACAAATGAGGTTGCTGTAAAATTGAGTCATGTTTAATTGCTCTTAACATCAGATTGCTTTCATTGTCTTCATTGACGTGAGATACCTGGTTCTGAACCAAACTATGTCAAGAACTACGAATTAAAGGCAATTTCTTGAAGGGATTGTTTTCTTTCATTTTTGATTTATATATATCCTGCAGTATCTTTGTAGGATCAGAGTACAAATTGTCTTTTAACTTTTTTTTTATGATAAGAAGTTATAAAATGGAGAAGTGTGCTCAGTTGACTTTTTGGATAAGTATGTATTTGCTGTGCATGGATGGTATGGAACATACAAACTGAATAAAATTTTAAAGTTGTTCCATTAAACTGATAACAGACCAGTATACTTACTGGTGTATATTTAATTTAGCTTGTGTATTAGCATAAGCTAAAATAAGTTTCTACCAAGAAGAACTAGCTAATGTTTTAAGATATTCTGCATTTATTAAATATGCATGCAAACCAAGCTCTTGAAGCTTGAGCAGTTCTAAAATTGTTACCTAACTTTGATTCAAATCCCTTGCCCTGATGAGGCACCTCTAGTGACATAGTCGTGTGCTATCTTCCATATGTGTTGTCTAACTCAATGCATGGAATAGATGTACTTCTTTAGTGAGTACAAATCCAGTACTTCCTTCCCACTGCTTTGCTTCTTACGTGCCATGCAGTTTATTTAAGCAAGCCCAGCTATAAAGACAACTTTGTCTTGCATTGAATTTTCTACAGATTTTCTCTGCCCTGTCTAAGTGAATTCAGACGAATAATCTATGGTCAGAGCATCTACCTGCTCAGAAGATGGGGGCTTCTTTTATATAGAAAGTGCAGAAAGATTAAGAAAGAGTCTTGTGCAGCTTTGGGTGTAGATTTAAGATGCTTTGAATTTTATGGGACTTTGTTTTTTATAGTGCAAAATATGTGTAGAAACTTAGGATAACACACTGCTCAGTTGTGGCTGGGAACTTGCATTGTACAGGCTAAGCTTTTGGAAAAATTAGCTGAAAATCTCTCACAAGTCCTTCTGTGAATTGTGGTATTTTTTAGAGACTTTTCATTTAGGTAGATTTAGGTGAGCTTCAGAGTTGCCAAAACGTGTTTTTTTGAACTTTGATCCAAGGTGTGTTGGACAAGACAGTCTTCAGCGATGCCTTCCAACCTCAGTGATTCTGTACTAGAATGCTTATAAGTTTCAATATTCTGGGCTTTATTTTTGACCTAACAGAACCTCTTCCCTTGAAAACATTAAGCTGTGCTTTCAAGAGAATCAGTGAGCCATTTGGCTCCTCCTTCCTCTTCTTTGTCTGTCTTGCCTTGCATGGGCTCTGGTGTGTGTGCCCTTAAGACTCCATCAGCTGGTACAACTTTCTAGCCTACTGGAAATCCTGAGAAGTTTTCTTCTGAGTTGGTATGTGGAATCCACTCATAAAAGATCTGTGACTACCAGAGCTGCAAGAAAGGGAAGAGCTGCACAAAGGAAATGGTTTAGGAAGGGCCTTTTCCATTTGGCAGCAGTGCTGCAAAAACCAAACTAATTAAGAGAGCACACCTGAAGTAAGCCTGTTGGCAATCCTTGTGTTTGTGCAGTTTTTGAAGAAGCAGCCTGATTTCGGCATTTGGAAAATCTTTGTGGAACATGCTGAACAACCCTCACTAATTTGTCAGCCTATCCCAGGCTTTCCTGAATTCCTCAGTGCTTTCAGACTCCCGGTACTCAGTATGTTTCTCGAGGCTGCAGCATGTGCAGAACATGTGTCACAATCATATTGTGGCAATGAGAAAGCTCTTCGGTCCCAAACGTCTCGCTGCTGCCGAAGTAGCCACTGCTGGATTTCTGTCACTAAAACATTCAGCTTCGAGCTGTGGATTGCATCAGCTGGAGAACAGAATTGTACAAATCAAAAGTTGCAATTTCTTTAAAAATTTGGATGTTCAATGATGTTGTGATGTGGGAGGGAGGTCATGCTGTCTGTAAATGGTTCCATTCAAAAGCTTAGTCCAGCATATCAGGTCAGTAAAGGTTTTATTTACTGTAATAAGGATGATTTCACTCAGGTTTACCTTTTTTAACCCATACGTTTTTTCCAGGTTCAGGATTCTAGACAGCGTTTAATATATTAACCATAATAATTTTTCCCAACTGTCCTTATCTGTTGAACTCTCCCTAGGAATCACAAATATCTTCAGTTACCTTAGGCATTGAAGAGCTAAAGAATAGTTGAGCACTTAGCAGATTTGAGTATCAGTCACCATCTTGTAGGCCCAAGGGAATGCACGTCTGAGCCTTACCTCCCCCACCGAGCTATGACCAACGTCTGCTATGATCACCTAAACTAGAAAGTATTATTTGAAAAGAAAGTATTATTTAATTCTATCAACATGGATAAATTGTAAGATGAGAAAAAAAAGCTTTAAAACAGTAAAAGCTTTCTTGGGCATCTTGCACATGTGTAGCTTGAAATATATAGTATAATGCACTTTGTTTCCACACAGTATTATCAGATTATCTGTT